GTAATATTCTGTGTAAATGAATTTATTTTGGAAGCAATAGTTTATACCTTAGTTTGTGCCTTGTATAAATTTAGCCAATTATGCTTTATTGAAGAAGTCATGATCAAACCAATTTTGTACAAACTTGATCAGTATTCTCTCTATATATATAATAATAAAGAATAGCACAGCTAATAACTGTGAAAAAAAATCAGATATTAGCTTTTAGAAAACATAATCAAATGGTTATCACAGAGGTTCCTAATTTTGTTTACATGCTGGAATTATTTTAAAATATGCTTGAAATGAATGGACAAAAACATTGTAAAGATCAGTTGGGTATTTCAGATGATAAGATATATTCACACTGCAGCTGTCTTCAACAGCTGGGAGTGATGAAGCTAGGTTTGCACAACATATTACTAATCCACAAATTAGACAACTGAATTTTAGCATAAGCATAACTGCACAAACTTAGTGGTACTATTAATTGTTTAGTGTGTTGTACATATCCAGAAAAAGAATGTAATTCAATTAATCAAGGTTATATTAACCATGAATATACACATCATGTGAATATAGGATCCACTCCTTGAAAGAAAAGAGTCCTTTGCTTACTTTTATGCTTTGATATGAAATTCATACTGTGTTTCCCTGAAAATAAGACCCTGTCTTATATTTTTTTGAACCCTGAAATAAGCACTTGGCCTTATTGCCATGCGCTCAAAAGCCTGATTTGGGCTTATTATCAGGGGATGTCTTATTTTGGGGAAAACAGGGTATTAGAAGTCTAATCTTTCCAGAGTCTGGTCTATTATGCTTTCTTCTGTTGTGCAGGAGACATCAAACACAATCATAAACCAAAGTAGAAGGATTTGCAGCAACTATGTATTCAATTCTGTAGAAATATATTAAAGAGCATGCTTTTCTACATTCCGTGTGGCCACAGTTATCCTTGCATTGTTTCCCCTATCCTCCAATGTCTTAAAAACCTGTAAAACTATTTGTGCGATGAAAGGCACATCAATTCACAATACTCTTACATCTTTGCTGGGCAACTTGTTCCCAGCAGTGTTTGCAATAAGAAAGAATAATTCTGACTTATTTTTTGCATTTAAAAAAAATACTAAGGTAAAAAAGATGCTTTTTGTTTGGTTGCTTGTTTACAAATGTTTTATTACCTGACTAAGTGACATCATCAGTTTTGGTGAGTGTGGGTTTGCTCCCTGTGGCTAGTCCCATTCATCTCCACACTTCAACCTTGAGCCATATACATTTCTTTTGAAAGTCAAAAATCCTGCCTTGGCATATCAACTGAGCGTTCCTTATCAATTAACAACAAGAAGCCAAAGTCACAAAACTTAAATTCTCTCATTCCAGAGTTCAGAAAACAAAATAATGGGTTATTCTAGGTTACCAGAAAATAGTTACCATCTGAATATTATAAAAAATAGCTTTCCGATACTAAGACCAGTTTGATACTAAGCCAATTATATGTAGGTCCTCAACTTACGTTGTGTTTAACAACCATTCAAAATTCCAATGGCAGTGAAATAGGTAGCTTATGACCGGTCCTCGTAATTATGACCATCATACCATCACCAAAGTCATGTGATCAATATTCAAAGCACTGGGCAACGGGGATATATTTATAATAGCTGCAATATCCTGAGGATCATGTAATCACCATCTGCAACCTTTCGAGCAGTTCATTTTAGAATTGCCTTGGTTAACAATGAAAATTCTGGTTCCAATTTTGGTTGTAAGTGGAGGACTACCTATATCATGACAGGTGGAGGCTTCTCATTCATTGGATGGATTCGAACAGAGGCTAGACAAAGATGGTTTACTTTGGGTGCTTGCACTTAGAGGGGGTCTTATGACTAAATGGTTCCTTCACCTTAATATACTGTTTTCTAAAGCAAATACATTTTTCCAGTGCCCTTAAAAAGGCAGACTTGGGCTAAAACATATGAAGAACAGTTTCAGGAATTGGGTATGTCTAGTCTAAAGAAAAGAAGGACTAGGGGTGACATGATAGCAGTGTTCCAATATCTGAGGGGCTGCCACAAAGAAGAGGGGGTCAACCTGTTCTCCAAAGCAACCGAAGGCAGGACAAGAAGCAATGGATGAAAACTAATCAAGGAACAACTAATCTAGAACAAAGGAGAAGTTTCCTGACAGGTAGAACAATTAATCAGTGGAACGACTTGCCTCCAGAGGTTGTGAATGCACCAACACAAACTGGAACTTTTTATGAAGAGATTGGACAACCATTTATCTGAAATGGTATAGAGTTTCTTGCCTGAGCAGTGGGTTGGACTAGAAGACCTCCAAGGTCTCTTCCAACTCTGTTATTCTGTAATTCCCTGGCCACATCTGGATCTTTGGCTGTTCCTGTCTGGCCATGCATGAGGTCAATTGGAAATTAGAAATCAAATGTAAATAAGTGTACAGCCCTATTGTTTCATTCCCCCTACAACAATCCCAGTTTCTCATGTGGTCCTTTGGAAAAATTAATTGCCCAACTTTGCTTAAAGACCAATTCACAATCTGCAAGGTACTATTCAGCACCTGAGACAGCTCCTAGATTAGCACATTAAAGAATCATCACAGAAGGAATACAGGCATGAGAAGCTGTTTCTCCTTAATGTCAGAAATGGAACTAGCATTTTTATGCCTGAACCTCATTTTTAAAATTCTCTGTAAACATAACATACACACATACATACACTACTGCTATTCCACAGATTGTATTACCTCTAAACATTGGATTATATTACTGTTTCGTGTGTGTGGATCTCAATCATGATTGCAGAGCTCTCAAACTTGATTCCTAGACAATAATAATTTTTGCACTGGAAAAATACCGTACTGACTATCAGGTCTCCTATCTAAAGAAAATAAGTGAGAATCAGGATTTATTATAAGTTTTCATTTATTTTGTATTTTTGTTTGTTTGTTACAGATTTAGGGTGAAACCAGAAACTGTCTAGTGGCAGAGAATTCTACAGCATTTTACAAGATGCTTACTGACATATGAGCAGAAAGGAAAGTTATTTCATGTAAATACATAGATGATTATAGTACTAATAAATATTGTTCTGGAAAAAAGTGTGGCTTTAACTTTTAATTTGAGTCAGTTTAAAACTATCCACATTATTCTATTAAACCTTTCAAAATGTCCAGTTGCTAGGCAGGTTTTTGCTATATACAAAATTGGGTGCAGGTAAAATACAAATTGTTAGCTAAATGTTAAAAAAAAATTAGGAGGAAAAAGTAAAGTTTGCTTTCTTATACTGCCACCTAGAGGGCAATGCCTGGAATACACTCGACAACAGCAAAAACATAATCCTAAAGAAAAAATAAATTAACTACAAGATTCTGTGTCAGTTGGATTTAGATCTTATTTATTTCTACTAAATATTATAATGGAACATAAAGCACAATTCACCTGGAGATGCTGAATGTAACAGAACTCCTGAGCACTTTGCAAGATTTTTATATATTTATTTAAGGATAAATGTTCTCTCGAAGAAAAAATAAAAAGGAACAAAAGACAACCCCCCCCCCAAAACTTTGCTTCCTTACAAAAGCTTCTCAACACTGATTTTTAATAAAAGGAATTGCTTCTCTTTCTATTAATTTTATGCTAATTATTCTTGATTTTTATAACCAAGGTCTGAGCAAAGCTGTTATTGTGATGCAACTTTAGAGGAAGGAATATTTAAAAATAAATGCGCTTTAGAGGTACTGTACACAATGAACTTTGAAAACTCTCCTCTTTAATTTTTATTATATATGTACAAATAGATGTGAGCACATATGCATCCACGTACATACCCACACATATACACACAATCAGTACAGTAACACAAACCCAATTATGAAATGATATAGTACTGTAAGCTAAAGAATAAACACTGACTTGCTAGTAGCCATATTTGACCTTTGCCTGATCTAGAAAACCAGGAAGAATTGGCCTTAGTATTTGGATATGGAAACCATTGTAAGCTAGACACACAAATTATGCCTTTACTTGTGTAGAAAACATCCCAAGAATTCATGAAGAGTTAAACAAAACTTAAAGGAGGCTTTGCTTCTATTTGCACAAACATAAGTGCACACAAACATACCAAAACAAAAACAAAAAACAAACCCCACTACATGAACCAACTTCAAGGAGAAGGCACCCTCCCAGGCTAAACTAGTAATATATCAATTAAAATAACCTCCTTTCTTTAACAAAGAGTTATGAATTCCAGATTATTCCAACTTCTTTTTCTCTGAACCATCCTTCTCAGAACCAGTAAGTGTCCTGGATGAGTCAGAGGTTACTAAGGAGATATGCAAATACAAACTCTTTGAAATTTCTCCAAGGAAGTAGAAAGGCAGGGAAGAAAGTGGGGATTGGGAAGAGGGTGGGGGGAAGAGAGAGAGAGAGAGAGATGCAAGAATCAGAACCAACAAAAGCACATGTTGCTCAAAATTTAAACTCCAACACATTCTTGGAGCTTAATATACCTCTTGAAAATCTACTTTTGATCAGTTCCTATCAGAGAAGAGCAGAGAAAAGAGCAGAGCAGAGGAGAGGAGGAGAGGAGAGGAAGAGGAGAAATCTGTGTGTGAAGTATTCTATTTCTCTCCAATCCTATGCAAACTGCTGAACGCGATTCTTTCCCAGAGGATCTGCTTCCTCGGTTTAACTTTTCCTTAAAGCAGATGTTTCCAAGTACCACTAGCCGCATCCATCTCTTAAATCCAAGGGAGACCCAGAGTTTTCTCATGAGCTTCCACAAGATCCCAGTACCAAAAGAATAAGAACAAGGGGAGAAAGTCTCCGCAAAGCCTCTCTCTCCCACTGCCCAGGCGCTTCAGCCCGTCGCACGGACACGACTGCTCCGTCCGTCCGAGCGGAGGGGCGGAAGGCACGGAACACCCGAGGTGTGGAGCCCGGCTTTCTCCCACCCGCGTCCTGCCCCCCTTCCCCCCCCCCCCGAGTCAGGCAGGGGTTGTCTTACATCCTCCTCCTCGCCGTCGCTCCTCCTCGCCTGGTACTGGAAGCGAGGTCTGGGGTTGTGCGGCTGAGACGGGCGCGAAGCCTTGGCTGCTCCGGCGGCCGCGTGGGCCGAGGCAGCGGCGACAGCAGCGGCGGCCCCGTCTTCCTCGGAGCACCGGGGGCCTAGGAGATGGCTGGCTTCGGGCGTGACGGGGAAGGAGCGGGAGGTGTTGATCTTCCCGCCGAAGCGCTGATACAAGGAAGCCATTCGGTCGATCCAGGGCGGCAGACTGAGCAGAAGAGTACGGAGTTCACCGGCCGTCTGGAGCCCTCCACGTCTTCTGCCTGCCTGGCGCTGGACAGCTCCGGACGCGCCACCCCCGTCTGCCTCAGGGGAGAAGGCGAGAACGGCGCGCTCGCCGCCCGGGCATCGGAACAGAGGAGGAGGGCTAGGAGGAAGAACGTGGAGGAACCCCGCCGTCGGCGCGTCAAACTCGCCGCCCTCTTCTCTCGCCAGGAAGATCGATGCGGTCCTGACCTCCTCCAAACCCCCGGTTAGAGGAGGAGGAGCGCGGAGCAGGGAAGCAACTTGGCTCCCTTGCCTAGCGCCTTCCCGGGGCCACAGAGCAGCCGCCTTCCAGGTCGCATGCCAGCAGTGTGTGTGTGTGTGTGAATGTGAGTGTGTTGGCTGGGAGGGGGGGAGAGGAGGAGGAGGAGGAGGGTGCGAGTGAGTGTGCGCGCGCGTGCCAGGGAAGGAAGGGCGAGTGTCCTTCTGCGCGCAAGGCGGCTGCGAGAGCGGGTCCGCAGAACGGGCGGACGGGCGCCTTCAGCCCCGAAGGCTCCGGGCAACTGGGTTACCTCTTTCCCACGGGGAAACTTGGAAAGCGGAGGGTGGGTGGGTGTGTTGTGGGAAGGTGACTACAGCTCTCGTGCAAGCCTGTGCTAGGAAGGTTGGGGGGGGGCGGGGGAGGCGAGAACGGCTTTGGCGCGCTGTCTTTCCTGCGGGAGTTGGCGTAGACAAGAGGCCGGGGACGCCTCCCGCCGGCGCCCCTCCTGCTTGCTCTCCTCCGCGCACCTGCCCAAACCTTCTCCCCTCCAGCCGCGGGGCTTGATTTTAACCCCCGCCGGCGCTGCGCCCGCTTTCTTCAATTCATTTTGCTGCATTAAAACGTGCTCCAGCGCCCCTCCGTGGAAACACGCGCGTATTACTTTCGCGGGCGTCAACAAAGCGCCAGACGAGTCAAGACCCACGCGAGTCCGCCCGGAGCCCGGCGGGGCGGAGTAGATCAAAGCTATTTCCACTTTTCCTCTCCGGGAAGGGCTGGCGTCTTCTGGAGCCCCTTCCCTGCCCTTCCCGGGTAACTGGCTTGCCAGTTCAGACGGCTCAGAAGCAGCCAACGGCGATTACGCCGCTCGGGGCCAGCCAGAGGTTAGCTCTGGGCAGCGGCATTTCACTAAAGGGGGGTGGGGGGGGCTGTCCGGGCTTCAGGATGGGGAGACTTGAGAGCCCCCTTCTCGCAAATCTATGGGTTCCCATAGCAACAGGTTTGTGTGTGTGTGTGTGTGTGTGATTGAGAGAGAGAGAGAGAGAGATCTGTCTCTCTCTTCAGCTGTAGCAAACTGGGATGTAGAAACGTGAGAGTTCAGACAGAGGCCAGGTTCTTGGAGGAATATGATTTGAACTTTAACTCTCTGCCCTTCCTTAGTCTTCAACAAAAGGCCTCTGAGCGAAGAGAGGTTTCTTTTCTCCTACATTTCCTTCCCTCCATTATTGCCATTATTATTTCTTAAATAACAATAAAAGAGAATACTTGTAGCAGATGGCTGAACTGTGGGGTCCTGGGTGCCCTCTGAGGTTAGCTGGGTTTTTTTTGTTTTTGTTTTGTTTTTGCAGGTAATGAAAAATGATTCATGATTCTGCATACAGATAGTCCTCAACTTACAAACATTTGAAGTTGCAACGGGACTGAAAAAAGTGACATTGTCATCGTCGTCCCCCACCCCCACCTTGTAATGACTGTTGGAAGCATCTCCAATGGTCATTATAGTAAGGTGATCAAAATTAGAACATTTGGCAACTGGCATGTACTTATGACAGTTTTGGTGTCCCAGAGTCACACAATCACTTTTTATGACCTATCTGGCAGGGAAAGCCAGATTCACTTAACAACCATGTTACTAACTTAACTGCATTGATTCACTTAATAAACATGGCAAGAAAGGTTGTAAAATGGGGTTCACTTAACAACTGTCTTGTTTAGCAATGGAATTCCTGTGGTTCAATTGTGGTCATAATTTTGAGGACTGCGTGTATTGATCTGGAAGTCCTTTCATGTTCATTTCTTTTAAAATAAGCAAGAGACACAATGGGACAAATATTGTAACTAATTCCAGGAAACTGTAGAAAACGAGGATGGGTTCCAGAGCCTCTTGAGAGAAAAAACAGATACAGGATTAGCAGGAGGAAGAGGTATAATAAATTGGGGAAGAAAATAAAAACAGAATTAAAAATGATGTTTTTCCTCCCTCTAGAAATGGGCAGGAATGGAGATCTCTGAAAGAAAACATTGAAGATGACCATAAAATGATAATGGGAAAAATACCCTCAAGGCCACATGTGTTAATAAGAATGCTTTCCTTTATCAGCATGTGAACAAAATAGTGTATTTTCTACAGTGCTGCGCTCTCAGTCACAGCTCAGGCCCTTAAGCAAAGATTACATGTACGTAAGTCCAAATTTACTGAAAATGTATTACAGGTAGTCCTCGACTTACGATCGCCATTCAGCTCAGATGTTTTGTTGCTCAGCAAGGCAGTTGTTAAGTGAGTTTTGCTCCATTTTGCAACCTTTTTTTTGCCACAGTTGTTAAAGCAAATCGCAGCTGTTGTTAAGTAAATCATGCAGTTATTAAATGAATTTGACTCCTTCCCCCCCCTCCCCTTGACTTTGCTTGTGGGAAGCCAGCTGGGAAGGTTACAAATGATGATGACATGACCCCACAGAACATTGCAACCGTCCTAAGTACATGCCAGTTGCCAAGCATCTGAATTTTTTATTATGGAGACGTTGCAATGGTCTTAAGTGTGAAAACTGGTCATAAGTCACTTTTTTTCAGTGCCGTTGTAACTTCAAACAGCCATTAAACAAATGTAAGTCGAGGACTACCTATACTCCAGAAAATATAGAAATGAGGAGATTGAAGAAGTCAGAGGAAGCAACTCACTTATCAAGGGGAGCAATATCTCAGCACAGCTTATATGTTCTCCAGGCTGGAGAAACACACACACACACACACACACACACAAACCAACAAACACACACAAACACATCTCAAATACATTTGAAATAAAACCTTTTCTCTTTTCCTTTAATAGCAAATTTTTGTAGGGAGACCCCAAAAAACTCAGAACACAGGGACTTTTAAGGAACTTGGAATCAAGAATGAGGAACAAGTTTACAGAAATGCAAAGGCTGTTTTTTTTTTTTTTTTTTTTTAATGGATTTAGAAACCGGTTAAGAGAGGAAGTCTCAGCAGCCACAAATAACAGAGAGGAATTAAACGACTGCCTGGCCGGAATGCTGAATTGTAATGTTTGCACAGTATTAAGAGATCAACGTAAAGAAAACCTTGGGTTGAACTTGATCCCCAGTGACATGGACAAGCTGCTTACAGATGTGCTTCTTTACATGTGCCAGATCTGAAAACCAAATCACAGTTCCTAAATAGAGGAAGGCATTCACCTCCTGGCTCAATGCCCTTCCTGCAGAGGACTTAGAAGGCGGATTCAAAGCATCCCGTTTTGGTCCAAGGTTTTGCTCATCTGCAAAGGAGTTATTGAAACAGCGAAATGTGTTTTGTCATATGGTTTATGCTGGCACACGTTCATCTTTGATAACCCCATAAATTTCTCAAGTCACTCTGAGCAGGTTTATTCACTGTTTTACCTTCAGAGGAATAGGACCTTATTACTCTTAAATGCTGCTATGTCACATGGAAAATGTGCATTGAACAGCTACTCTTGTGTGTGCATTACACTACAATAAGGCAAAGAATAAAATGATTGGTACTATAACTTGGAACAGTCCTTTATCGGATTGTCAAAACAAGTTGGAGAAATAATCACTGGATCACCAAAAAGCTGGATTCATAACATCATGCTAATATAATTTTCTGATTTGGGTGGAGCATGTGAGCGTTGGTAGACTCAGCCATTACAGGTAGTCCTCGACTTACGACCACAATTGAGCCCAACATTTCTGTTGTTAAGCAAAACAGTTGTTAAGTGAGTTGTGCCTCTTTTTATGACTTCCCCCCATAGTTGTTAAGTGAGTCACTGCAGTTCTTTTTTTTTTTTGAATTTTTTTTTATTTTTAAACAAAACATAAATCCATCATCCATTACAATTGCAAACAGTGTGTCGGTCGGTTACAAGTCTTTTGTGCTTCCTCACCATATTCCTAACTTACTAATTATCCAATTTCTCATATTATCAGTCTAATAAATATCTTTGTAATATTATCCTCATCAGTCATTTATTTAACTATGGCTTTCTCGTTTTATAAAAATTATTTTCAAATATTATATTATAACATTCATTTCATATTTCATTTCTATGTTTTATTATCTAGCCATTGATAAAATGAATCCCATATCTAAGTCACTGCAGTTCTTAAGTGTATCATATGTTGTTAAGCTAATTTGATTCCCCACTGACTTTGCTTGTTGGGAGGGTTAACAAATGGTAACCCCAGAACACCGTCATAAATATGAGTCAGTTGCCAAGTGCCTGAATTTTGATCCCGTGACCATGGGGATGCTACAACGGTTGTAAGCACAAATCATTTTTTTTCATTGCCATTTGTAACTTTGAACGGTCATTAAATGAATGGTTGTAAGTCAAGGACTACCTGTAGTGATTTGTTCAATAAAATATTGTCAAACATATAAAATATTGTCATGACATATAAAGATTAGTTCTCAACGGATAGCTAGTACTATTGTGAAGGAAATGTTCCAAAAATGCATCTTTCTTAAATGGCATAGTGAAAGGCAATAGCCATTATAAAATAAATTGAATATTACAGAAAGATAACACTCTCTGAAACATAATCTCTGAAGAACCAAGCACCCAAATTTTGATCACATGGCACTGTTTTGACAATTATAAATTCAAGAACTGGATGTAAATCTTTTTTTTCAGCGCTGTTGTAACTTCAAATGGTCACTAAATGGATGGCTGTAAAAGACATTTGCCACATTTGCCGAAAATCTTGTTTGAGTTTGTATCCTATAGATCAGGGGTGTCAAACTCAAGGCCCGCGGGCCGGATCTGGCCAGCAGGCTCAGCCTGGAAACAGCGAAGGACCGGCCCACGGTGCTCCTGCCAGAGAAAATGGAGCTCAGGAGGGCAACATGCAGGCCTCCTGGGCTCCATTTTCAGTCATGACGGCTTCCTGCAGCCCTCTGCCAATGAAAACAGAGCTTGGGAGGGCACGTGCAGTCCTCCTGGGTTCCGTTTTCAGCCATGACGGCCTCTTGCAGCCTTCTGCCAGTGAAAACGGAGCTCCCGAGCTCCATTTTCACTGGCAGAGGGCTGCAGGAGGCCGTCACGGCAGAAAACGGAGCCTCAATAAGTGACAGCAAGCTGGCCACACCCACCCTGGCCACTCCCCCTGACTCCTCTGAGGTCAAATACAACCCTGA